TCCATCCATCCATCCATCCATCCATCCATCCATCCATCCATCCATCCATCCATCCATCCATCCATCCATCATCCATTATCTTTACCCGCTTCTTCCTTTTTGGGTCGCGGGGGTCACCAGTGCCCATGCCCAGCACTGAGAGAGGCAGGGGACATGCTGGACAGGTCTCCAGTCCATCACAAGGCCCAGAGGACAATCTGAAAGTCAATATTGGATATTAGTCCAGATGACCTGACTGAGCATTATTGGATTTGGTACCTGGATGATTGAGCATGAACTTTGGTGTCAATACTGGATGGTTGTGATTTGGGGCTCCTCTGGGGCCAGTGCATTAAAACAGGTCTGGTTCTGTTCTGGACTCAGGAACACTTCCACAGATCATTGTCTGTAAACACAGTTCAGAGTCAGAGATTCTTTATTGTCATTCGCACCTCATGTGGTACATGTGGTGGAGCGAAATTATGTACACAGGGTCCCAGTTACATCCAACAATAAAATGTCTAAGAAAAACAGTAATAACATCTAAGATATGAACTAAGAAAAACATCAACTAAATATACACTAAGCACTCATAACATAAAACATTGAACATCAGCACAAACATGAACATGAGTCTGTGAGCAGATGTGCACGCATGAACACATCAACATTTAAACAGATCAGCAGCAACATGATGTGATTATTCTAGTTAGGGATTCATGAGTCGAGGCGCTTCAGGGTAGAAGCTGTTCCTCAGTCTAGTGGTTCTACACTTAATGCTCCTCAACCTCCTTCCTGAGGGGAGTGGGGCAAAAAGTGTGTGTGCTGGGTGAGTGAGGTCTTTCATGATGCAGGTGGCCCTCTTCCTGCATCTGGAGGTGTAGATGTCTGTGATGGTGGAGAGACTGACTCCAACATCTTCTGTGCAGCCTTCACCACTCTCTGCAAAGCTTTTCTTTCTGCAGCTGTGCAGCCTCCATGCCACACGTTGATGCTGGAGCACAGAATGCTCTCCACTGCACACCTGTAGAAGGAGGTGAGGACTGAGCTTCCCAGCCCAGCTCGCCTCAGCCGTCTGAGGAAGTAGAGTCTCTGATGAGCTTTCTTGATCAGGCTGGTGGTGTTGTTGCTCCAGCTGAGGTTGTCATTCATGTGTACACCCAAGTACTTGTAGCTGGAGACCACTTCCACTGCAGATCCTCTTATGTTCAGGGGGGTGTAGATGTTTTTATTCCTTCTGAAGTCCACAATCATCTCCTTTGTCTTCTTCACATTGATGTGAAGGTTATTCTCTCTGCACCAGCTCTCCAGGTGTTCCACCTCTTGCCTGTAGCTGGACTCATCATTGTTTGTGATGCATCCCACCACCGCTGTATCATCTGCAAACTTTACAATGTGACAGCCTGGATGGGTAGCTGCACAATCATACGTGAGCAGAGTAAACAGGAGAGGGCTCAACACACATCCCTGAGGAGAGCCAGTGCTGAGGGTTATGGTGGAGGAGGAGAGGTTGTGGATCCTCACTAACTGTGGTCTGTTTGTTAAAAAGTCTAGTACCCAGTTGCAGATGGAGGGGCTTAGTCCTAGTGTGGATAGTTTGTCCATCAGGGTTTGGGGGATCATGGTGTTGAAGGCGGATGTGAAGTCCACAA